CTCTCTCTCTCTCTCTCTCTCTCTCTCTCTCTCTCTCTCTCTCTCTCCTTTCCAGCAACAAAGCACATATGGTAGAAAGGTAGGTGCAGATGCTGAGAAATCAACATTACTACAATTCTCAGGTCCTGCTCTTTGCCAGCTTCAATTGGGCTCTGACCATTGTGATGGTGATGTTCACAGTCAGGATTTACTTCTGCCTACACTTTTCAGTGTTTCCATATCTGACCTTCCTCCTCTCCACAGCTGTCTCAGTTACATCCTCCTTCCAATCACTGTGGCACGGGCCCCTAGCCTCCCTGAGTATTTAACCTTCCTTCTTTCCAGGTACATAGATCATTTCAGTTTCAAGCAATAACCAACTCAGGTGGCCAAGATAGAGCAATTCGAAGTGGGATGTGGACAAGACATACCCTTCAAAAGCATCCCTTATCACCTACTTTATCCACTCAATTTCATTGACTAACATTTATGCCATTCTCCAAAAATCCCATCAAATTATGAATCCATCAATGGATTAATTTGCTGACAAAGTCAGAGTCCTCATGATCCAGACATTTCTCAGTGATTGGATCTGCCCAATGAGGACTAAGACTGAAACGTGAATCTTTACATTGGAAATGTGTATTCAATTCTTAACACTAGGTCCTTCTGTTCTTTTACAGATGTCCTGTTCAAACCAGCATATATGTCATTGATGTCAAAAAGACCTCCATGCCCTGTAATATATTTGATCATTATATTAGTTCTTCATTGTCTCAGAGGCATACTTGTTTTTTGTTCTTTCATATGGAAGAAATGTAAATGTATGGAAGGTAAACCATTTCTTCTTGAAACTCAATACTCAGATGTGATGCATACAGAATTAGTTCATCTCAATACTGTTTGTCAAAGAGGTTCCAAAATCTTCAAAGATCCTCATGTTAAGCTGCTACCTCCTTGCATGGTTCTTAAGGGTTAGCATGCAGCTATCATCCCAATTCATCTCATTGTCTCAGAATTCCTTCACAGGCATCATTAATGATTTTCTTTCACTTTTGGTGCTTGTAGAATTGTAATCATAATAGACCTTTTGTCTTCTGTAGGAACTTGTCAGCTTTTAGAGTTATTGCTGAAAATTTCTAGGCTCTTTTGCATTGGTATAAAGAGAAAAATTCAGCCACACCTCACTCTTCTGCTCCTGAATTTCAGGAGAAGTTGCAAGCTCACTGCCACCACAAGACAATAGCTTTGGCTCTCCCTCTCCGTGCAGCTCTTACACTGCACTTGCATGCCATTCTGGGATGGAAGAAAACTGTCAGGCACTGATTTAAAAAATAGCTGAGTGACTAAGATCTGGGCTTTACAGCTCTGCTTTCTAGGCCCCAGGTTTCTGGGCACATCCCATATCCCTCTTCTACCCATAACAACTGGCTAGCAGCATCTCCCCCCATTTATCCCCTACAGCATCAGTGACCCCCAGAGGCACAGGTTTCATCTGTACTGATCAGAGGAAGAGTGACCCCTGAGACACAAGCACCACCTGCACCAATTGGAGGAAGAATCAACATCTGTACCTATAATCGTGCCAAATCCAAATGGGTATATGGCATTGTAAGAATATATTCAACAGCATAAAGAGTGATGTGGCACAACCAGACCTACAACAGCAAGCTGGTTCTATAACAGCAAAACCTGGACATCCCAATGCAGATGATGAAGAAAAAGACCTCGAAATATTTTTTGATAATTTTTCTAGCGTCAGATGTAGCAGGAATAATAAAAATCCAGAGATAGATATTAATGTTCAGCCTGAAAACCAGGAATGCAAAGTAGCCAAGCCACTAGAGAAGTCTTACCTCTACCAAGGTTGGGTGACTGCAGACTAAGCAGACTAAACCTCCCTCTCCTCTCATTTGATATTCCCTCTAGTGCTGGGATTAAGGGCGTATGACTCCCTAGTACTGGGATTAAAGGTGTAGGCCACCACCACCTGGATTGATCTTGTGTAGCCATGGGTGGTATTGAACTCACAGATATCCATTTAACTCTGTCTTTCAAATACTGGTATTAAAGGTATGTGTCACCATTGCTTGACCTCTATTGGCTTTAGCTTTGCCTCTGGTCTTTAGGCAAGATTTATTTATAAAAATACAAACAATATACTACTACAACCAGGTTTCTCCATAACCCCATAGTGACTCCCTCTATCAAGATATCTCTTTCATTGCTCTCTCTGTCTGTCCCACCTGCAATTTGGACATCTCAATCATTTGTGTTCCCATCCCCCATCCCTTCCTTTCTACCCCCCTCCCAGTTTACCCAGGAGATCTTAACTATTTCCCCTTCCTGGGGTCCTGCATGTGTGTCTGTAACATGAGGTCCTGCTGCTTGTTAGGTTTTCTGTCCTGCCCGGTACTCCCAGCTGTTTAGCCCCAAAGAAAATCACACAGAGGACTCCATAAGTTATAAAACTTATTGGCCCATGAGCTCTAGCCTCTTATTAGCTCTTGTAGCTTATATTAACCCATTTTTTCTGATCTATTTTAGCCATGCGGCTCAGTACCTTTTTCAGTGGGGCAGATCACATCCTGCTGCTTCGGTGGTCTGGGCAGGAGTGGGAGGAATCAGCTTCCTCCTTCCGAGAATTCTCCTTTCTGTCTGGTTTTCCCAGCTATACTTCCTGCCTGGACAATTAGCGTTTATTTAAAACATGATTGACAGAATACAGACAATTATCCCGCATGTGTCCCTCATAGGGTCTCTTTTTCACCTAGCTTCTCTGAGGTTGTGGCTTGTAGCTTTCTTATTATTTGCTTACATCTAATATCGTCTTATGAGTGAGTACATACCATGTTTGTCTTTCTGGATCTGGGTTACCTAACTCAGGATGTTTTCTTCTAGTTCATCCATTTGCCTACAAATTTCAAAATGTCATTTCTTAACTGCTGCATAACACTTCATTGTATAAATGTATCAAATTTTCTTTATCCATCTTTGTTTAAGGGCCAGGTTCTGGCTATTACCAATAATACTGCTATGAAAAAGGTTGAGGAAATATTCTTCTGATATGACTATGCATCCTTTGAGTATAAGTCCAAGAATGATATTGCTAGGTCTGAAGGTAGATTGAGTTCTAATTTTCTGAGAAACTGCCATACTGATTTTTAAAGTGGTTGTACAAGTTTGTACCGCCACCAACAATGGAGTAGTGGTCTCCTTACTCCACATCCTTGACCCCAGCTAAGACTCTGAGCAATAGTGAAGAGGGTGTCTGAACTGGCCTGCCCCTGTAATCAAGTTAGTGACTACCCTATTTGTCATCATAGAACCTATATCCAGCAACTGATGGAAACAGATGCCGTGATCTACAGCCAAGCACTGGCTTAAGCTCCTGGAGTTCAGTTGAAGAGTAGGAGGAGGAATTATGTGAGCAAGGGGGGGCAAGATAATGATGTGGGAACCCCCCCTAGAGACAGCCAACCCTGACTATTGGGAGCTTTTATGACTTGGTATATTTGTAGACCTCTGGCAGTGGGACCAGGATTTATCTCTGGTGCATGAACTTGCTTTCTGGAGACCATTACCTATAGTTAGATACCAAAAAAAATAAAATAAAAATAAAATATTTCTTTTCTAGGAGAAAAAAAACAAGAAAAAGAAATATACAGCAACAAATAACTAGATTATTCATCTTTTCTAATCTCTCACCAAGTGTTATTTTGTTGTTCTCATAAGAATAGTCTGAATGCTGTATACATTAGGGTTTTTAATGTAATCTGAATTAAAGGAGCTAAAACAGGTGGTATAGAAGGCATGGAATACATCTAGAGCAGCCTTTAGCAGTGCTGTTGCAGTGGATATCAGGACATGATATCAGGACATGAGTAAGATGAGTAAGAGAGACGTTAATGACAGAAAAGAGGTGAAAGGTTTTCTTTACATTTAGCTAACTTGCAGCATCCACAAAATATCATTTTATTGATTTTCTAAACTTGAGACCTTTAAAACATTCAGACAAGTCAACATGCTCTAGGTATGTCTCCAGGTAGGTTACATTCTGCACAATGTGAAAGAAAGTAGGAAGGGGTTCTTAGTTCTAGCCTTGATTTAACCAAAGCCCAAAGGACTATAATATCTTAGCTTCAAAAACTTTACACTTCATAAGGGAAAAGAACTTTTGTATATTCTAGGTTATTCTGGATGAAGGATGACATGAACTGGGGGACTTTAAAAATAATTTTATCTAACTCAAAGGACGAAATCCATTTGAGATTTACTGTGAAAATGAGACATATTCTTTTAAAAAAGCTTGAGTTCATATGATAAAATGTGGACAGTCATGTACCTAATGCATAAAGGCCTCTATTATTCTGAATGTATATTCATAAACTGCCAGGTAATAGAATCAATAGCTTCTAATCAATATCATACTAATTTATCTAAACAACCTCATGAAGTTCTACTTACTATTTCTAGATGAAGAAATTAAAGACCCAAGGTTTTAGGTAAATTCTTCAAGTTGAAACAATCTTATGAATGTGGATCATAAGTTGATATCAAAGTGTTTCAAATGCCATACACTTTACTTCAACCCTGATACTCTTCACCAAGATGTGGACCGCTCAAATCTTCCTTATGTACTTTCAGCGATGAAGTAGCTACTACTTCCCTAGCTAACTTGACTTATTCATTAAGTTATTCAACATTTGTATATTGGATAGTTCATAAATTTTAGAGCTGTTATAGACATTGAATACAAAGTCAAAGAGTGGATAAGAGTTTATTTTGAATGAGAATACTCCTTACTTCTTTATTGTTCTTGTTGGTAGTTGCTGATACTTATGATCAAATATAATAAACAAATATCAACGAAAAACAGAACAAGTAAACTAATATACACACAAAGAGAAAGTCAATATTAAATACAAATCAAAAGAATCAGGTAACAACAAAACAAACTTTTCTTTTCTTTTTGAATGTAAACTATTGTTATTTTTCTTGTTCTATTTATTGATTGATTGATTGATTGATTGAAAATTTCCACTTCCTCTCCGCCTCCCTTTTTCTCCCCCTTCCCACCTCCCCCTCCCTCTCTAGTCCTAAGAGCAGTCAGGGTTCCCTGCCCCGTGGGAAGTCCAAGGTCCTCCCCCCTCCATCCAGGTCTATAAAGGTGAGCATCCAAACAAACCAGGCTCCCACAAAGTCAGAAACTTTTCTAGATATTTTCTCCCTTAGTGTTCATAGTTACTTATTTCTTGCATGGTATAATTCAGAATAACACAACTATCTTATTTGATTTCTTCTATAAATGTTTCAAACCAGTCAGTCAATCATTTTTCTAATCTAGATAAATATAAGGAAGCAAGGTTTGGTTAGGAGCAGCATCCTGCCTTGAAGCAATCTTTCTCGCATTGTAGCAAGCTTCCTAAAATATACATGGAAACTCAAGAGAAGAATGAATTGATGGCTAATAGAAAGGATGCTATTGAAATCTTGCTGGGTGCACAAAAGTCATAACTGCTGAAGTCTTGGTTTCCAAGGTATCTTCTTCCCCTTTTAGCTAGCTCTGAGTTTTACAGAAACACAACTCCATGGATCCTACAACCTTTAGGAACTTAAGCATTGAGACAAGGCTATAGCTAACAGGGCCCCACAGTGTGCAAGTCATATTTTCTGGCTGATTACATGTTACACAGTCATAAGAAAAATGAGAAGATATTTATTATTTAATTTTATTTTTAAGTCTTCTCTGCCTTCATCCTAAATGGCCATAGATCTTAGCTTCACCCAATTCTAAGTTCTATTTTCACTAAAAATTCCTAACCCTAAAAATCTTGCTTGTGAGGCTTTAGCCCTGAAATAGGTTTAATAAACAAATGGGTACAACACTGAGACCTTCAAGACACTTTCTATATTCAGCGTTTCTCTTGCTGTTCCAATGCATTCATTCCCAAAGTCCTAGCTTCCTAAATCTTATTACTCATTCTTTTTCAGATTCAAAGAAAATGAGACTTGGCTATGAGCTTGGCTGTGAATGTCTACTGTTAGCTTTGTATATTGGCTTCCTTCCTCTCTACTTGACGTTCAGGAGCCAAGGTGAGTGGAATGAGAACGGGGTCTGTCATTTTACTTTGCCTCTTCCCTGTGCCTTCTCATCTTGTAACTATTTAAATCTGAATAGTCTGTTGCAGCATTAACAGTCATGGTTTCAGTGACATCCCAGTGTCTTCAATTACTGACATTGGAACTATTTATTTTCCTAAGTTTTAGGCTTCTATCATGGCTGCTTATATGTTCACACTCACAATTCCATCTGCTTGTAAAGCAATGTAGAGGATGATCTCTCTAGGTCTTGCCTCTGTTTCATCCCAAATGTACAGACGTTCTTTTACACAGCACAATTTTTGGTATCTCCTACCATTACATTAAGTCAACAATTCATAAACATTAAAAATAATTTGGTTTAGAGATTTCCTCTGATAATTAAGGGGAAAAAAGCATGGTTTTTCTTTTGATTTCCTTCTCATTTTCTGAGATGAATGAACGCTGATGTTTGATTCTCTTGGATATGCATTCACAGGCTATTTGAAAGTATGTGGTTGTTCTGTAACATAGAGTGTTTATAGGATAGTATTTGAAAATTTAGAAATTTCTTTCATTTCATTGTGGATATCAGGAAGTATTTTTATAAGAAAACAACCAATGAAGTTACCCAAACAATCTAATTATTACTTATAAATGGTTTGCACTCATCCATAAGACAAAATCCTATCAGACGTTAGATTCAGATGTACCTTTCCCTGGTTTAACCTGTATTTCAGAATGATTGTCAATGAGACTCATTCAGTCTATTTCACTGCAAATCATACAAACCAGCCTCAAATCCTAAAAAATGAGTTCAAATGAAACCTCTCTGAGAGTCAATGGGAAAATAGCAAAACTCTTTGTATTTTTAATTAATTAATTAATTTATTTATTTATTAAAAATTTCCACCTCCTCCAGCCACCCTTTTTCTTCCCCCTCCCCCACTCCCCCTCCCTTTCTAGTCCTAAGAGTAGTCAGGGTTCCTTGCCCCGTGGGAAGTCCAAGGTCCTCCCCCTTCCATCCAGGTCTATGAAGGTGAGCATCCAAACAAACTAGGCTCCCATAAAGTCAGTCCATGCAGTAGAATCAAAACCCAGTGCCATTGTCCTTGGTTTCTCAGTCATCCTTCATTTCCAACCACATTCAGAGTGTCCAGTTTGACCACATACTCCATCACTCCCAGTCCAGCTGGCTTTGGTGAGCTCCCATTAGATCAGTCCCACACTCTCAGTGGGTGGATGCACCCCTCGTGGTCCTGACTTCTTTGTTCATATTCTCCCTCCTTCTGCTCCTCATTTGGACTTTGGGAGCTAAGTCCAGTGCTCCAATGTGGGTCTCTGTCTCTATCTCCATCCATCGCCAGATGAAAGTTCTATGGTGATATGCAAGATATTCATCAGTGTGGCCATGGGACAAGGCCAGTTCAGGCACTCTCTCCTCTGCTGCCCAAAGAACAATCTGGAGACCTCTCCTTGGACCTGGGAACCCCTCTAGAATCAAGTCTCTTGCAAACCCTAAAATGACTCCCTTATTTAAGATATTTACTTCCCTGCTCCCATATACACCCTTCCTCCATCCCACCCATCTCATTCCCCCAAGCTCTCCCGAATCCTCCCCTTCTCCCTTCTCTTTACCCATCTCCCCTTATATCCACCCCTGACTCCCCCATGCACCCAAGTTTTGCCTTGCAATCTTGTCTACTTCCAATATCCAGGAGGATAACTATATGATTTTCTTTGGATTTACCTTATTTAGCTTCTACCTACTCATTGGGAGAAGATCTTCACCAATCCCTCATCATACAAAGGTCTTATCTCCAAAATATACAAAGAACTCAAGAAACTAGACACTAAAACTCTAACTAACCCAATTAAAAAATGGTGGTACTGAACTTAACAGAGAATTCTCAACAGAAGAACTTCGAATGACCAAAAGACACTTAAGGTCATGCTCAACCTCCTTAGCGATCAGGGAAATGCAAATCAAAATAACTTTGAGATGCCATCTTACCCTTGTCAGAATAGCTAAAATCAAAAACACCAATGATAGCCTATGCGGGAGAGGATGTGGAGTAAGGGGAACACTCATCCATTGTTGGTGGGAATGCAAACTTGTGCAGCCACTGTGGAAATCAGTGTGGTGGTTTCTCAGGAAACTGGGAGTCAACCTCCCTCAGGACCCAGCAATTCCACTCTTGGGAATATACCCAAGAGATGCCCTATCATACTACAAGAGCATTTGTTCAACTATGTTCATAGCTGCACTATTTGTAATAGCCAGAACCTCGAAACAACCTAGGTGCCCCTCAATAGAAGAATGGTTAAAGAAGGTGTGGAACATATACACATTAGAGTTTTACTCAGCAGTAAAAAACAATGACATCTTGAATTTTGCATGCAAATGGATGGACATAGAAAACTCTTTACTGAGTGAGGTAACCCAGACCCAAAAAGAGGAATATGGTATGTACTCACTCATAAGTGGATTTTAGCTATAATTAAAGGACATTGAGCCTATAATTCGTGATCCTAGGGAAGAAAAAACTCTTTTTAAAAACTGAAGCTAAAATTAATTTCCAGCACTATGGAATATACTAAGTGTCCTAAACCAATCTTTATCATTGTAGTATATTTTTCTATCCATCTAACACTTATAAATCTATGTAATTTTAAAGCAATTTTGACCACCGAGAAAGCAAGAACAATATTTTGAGTGACAGGAAATATGAATATATATGAATCTTTTCTCCCCATCTGCTTCTTTCATCCATTTTAATTTTCTGTTTTTATCCTTATGCCCTGATTTTAAAGACCATATCAGGATTAAACAGACTAATTGTAACTCAGAGAACCCTCATAAGAAGGAGTATCATAGAAATGTTCACATTCATCTGAGGAGTCCAATGTAGTGAATACTGAAATAGTCTGTAAAAAAATCACACAAAACAGTACATCTTATGGAATACTGTGAAGAATAGAATTTAGGAGCCAAGATAGCCTATCGATTAAAAACATTTGTTGCTCTTGAAAAAGTCTGGTTTCTGCACCCGCATCTATATGGCAGTTCACAATTCACTATAATTACAATTTGGGATTTCTGAAGACTTCTTCTGGCCTCTAAAACTCATATGCATAAAATAAAAAATAAGTATATTTTTGCTAAAAGATAATAGAATTTAGAAATTATTTTTCTTTAGCAATATTGCACCTGTTAACCGGTACCAATCCCATGCAAAAATTGAAGACAAAGACAATTGTCAAGCTCTCCCATTGTGTATAGAGGGACAGTTGTTAAAAGGCTTAGAGTTTTCAAAATTAGCAATGATGGTCTAGACTTTCTATGTATAGTAAGCATATGAAATATACCTTTTATATTTAAAAATGGAAGAATTCACTTAAAATATGGATAATGAAAAATATTATAAAAATATGAGAATATTTCAAAAAATCAAATAGAACATCTATATAGATACATTTATACTAACTGACATAAAATAAAAATAACTCAGTGGAAACATTAAGCAGGAGATCAAATGTAATGAAAAAGAACTGGACTTCAGACATCAGGTAAGATAGAGTGTGTACATATAGCTACCACATATGGCATAGGTCCAGATTATGCACCAGTTAGCTCTCATCAGAGAAGCTCCAATTTTCAGTAGGTAACTGTCAGCAAGGAGATTAAGGCGTAGAACATAAAAGAAGTCTGAATGATCATTCCTAAGCAGGATATTTATAGCCTATCTACTTGCAAAGGCTCATGGATCAATGCAGATGAAGAGAAGGAAATGTAAGAGCTGTAGGTGGTGGATGACTACAAGGAAATTGTTTCCTCTGTGCAGCTACACATATGAACTCACAGCAGCTGAGACAGCATGCACAAGAGCTGTGCAGAACTGGGCCAGATAAAACTCCAGCATAGAGAGGCGGGTTGGGCATGAAGTCACTTGCTTAGCTATATTGGTAGCTGATAGCTGCTGAGAGAGGGAGAATCAGTTTCCTTTAAGGCTGTGGACACTTATATGTTGACCATGCTCCAATGAAGGAACACATCCAATAATATACAGGCAGCACAAACTGTCCTAGGTGTGTGTGTGTGCACGCACACGTGTGAGTGCACACGTGTACACACATCACATATACACATACATCTCTCTGTGAGAGTACTCTTATTTTTCATAATAAATATCTGTTGGTCACTGCAATTTCCTCTATTAGAATGTTCCTTAATGTCTAGAAGATCCTTATCATTGCATCAAATGCTTCCTTTTCTCCTTTGCTTAGCTCTCCTTTTATGTTTTTAGATGACTACTGATGCCAGCTTTCTACTTGATTCTATTTCTTACTGTGTTTTCACCTCTCTGCTAAAAATGTCCAACTCAAACTCAAATGAGGTAATTGCAATTATAATAACCTATTTCAGAACCCATCCTCCTCATTCTTAATTTCACACATCACATTTTAATACACCGAACCATTTATTACTTACATGGATTGAGCTTGAATTTGAGCTCTCAAATGTTACAATCATATTCTTGGTATGCAGCATATTAAAATCTGTTGTCCTACTGAGCTGCAATGACAGACCATGTTGACTTATTTGACCGCTCACTGGACTAATGTATTTCCTCTGTACTTTCCCTGCAACATCTTGTCTTGGCAACTCCTAAATGGGAGAATAAAAATAAACAAGAAGGTGCTCTCAACTACTTGTGGTTAAATGTGTAAAAATAACATTTTGCAATTTACATGTATGGCTCAAACTAAACCTCACCAACTCTTTGACTCCCTCAAACTGGAAAGTTAGGTCATATAACCTTGGATCGGTGGCCTAAACTTTGCTCTCCAAATGAAGGCAACTCAAAACCTCCTTTTTCTCTTTGTTATTGACTAGGGCCCTGTGATCTGGCTTATTAATTTGTACATATTCAACTGTCTCCATTTTATTTATTTTAAAACATGTTTAACATTTCTTTCTCTTTTTTTTCCAGCTTCTATTTTGAATGATGCATACCCATTGTATAGTAATTGGCTGCAGGATGTATGCATAATCTTGGTTGTGATGATGATATTTTTCACTCTACTCATTTTGCTTCTACTTTGTACCCTAAACAGTAAGTGAAGCAGTGGGGTAGGAATTCCAAGGATCGGTTTCCTGACTCTACTTGAATCCCCATGAATCTAAAACTGGAGGAAAATAGAGGCTTGGGTTATTGCTATTTTTCTTTACTTCTATAAGCAGATTGGCCTTGCCAAAAGCTCATTAGGTTAGCATGTAGGCTAGCCTGTGGGAGACTATTATTATTAAATTAGTTGAGAGTGGAAGATTGACCTTACCTGAGGACTTTCTTATGGATTTCACTGTTCCTTTCTAATGTACTTTCTGTGATGCTAACCTCATCTATGGGGAGTTCTATCAGCATTCTCCTCTGCTGTGCTGTGTTACCATGCTGAGCTTTGCCCTATGATGAAGTCTTATTTCCCATATTTAATGCTAAATTAAATGACAATCACTAAATTATGTTTTAAGGAAGTATATTATATAACTTACCAATATTCCTAAATTTATGGATTTTCATTTATCCAGCTATTGTATCTAACTCTCTTTGAACTGGTACAAAGACATTTAATAAAACAGACTTAGGAAAGGTCCCCAGGGGGCACCCGGAGAGAAAATAGACCCCAGAGCTATTTAAGTCTATTAAAATAAAGAGAATCTGACTTTTCTTTGTTGGGTTCTTAGTTTCATTAATAAAATAATTTTAACAGAGGTGAAGGAAAACTGTGGTACCATTTTAATAGTATAAAAGAAAAACAACACAACCCATGTGTAGTTGTATATACTTTTTTTTAACTGTTTTCTCTTTGAGGGCGCCTACCACTCAGCTCCCAAATAAATACATGGAGACTTACTCTTTGTTATCGATGACTGGACTTAGCTTGGCTTGTTTCTTGTCAGTTTTCTTGATCTAATTTATCCCATTGATTTTGTCTCTGGGCTTCTCTATTCTCTACTCCTTTCTTTCCTTCTTACTTAACAGCTAGTTTTGTAGTTGGGTGGCTGACTCCTGGAGTCCTTTCCTCCTTCTCCTGCTCCTGCCTTCTCTTTTGCTTTCTCTCTGCCTGGCAGCACTGACTATACTTTTTCCTGCCTAGCTATTGGCCATTCATCTCTTTATTAGACCAAGCAGGCATTTTAGGCAGGCAAGTAACACAGCTTCTCAGTTTAACAAATGCAACATAAAAGAATACAACACATCTTTGCATCATTAAACAAATATTCCACAGCATAAATGAATGCAATACATCTTAAAATAGTATTTCAAAACACACACAAACTGTAAATTTTGGCATTTTCTGGCATGGAGAGATGAAGAAGAGGAAGAGCGACAGCCATCCTTTTTGGAGACTAGCAGGTACTCACACCCAGAAGAGAACAATTGTTTTCTAGAGTGAATGAGAAAGCCCAGTGTCTGCAAACCATACTTAGGCATTTGTCCAGTATCAGAAAGAAAAAAGATACAACAAAAAGAGAAAGATATAAAAACCTAAAATACTTTAATAAGTACATTTTCTTTATTTAAAACAATATTGGTTGAAGTCATAAGGTAAAAATTTTATAAAGTAACACCATTTTATAATGGCCATATAAATTTTAATACAGGTTTTCATCCAACACATGTTCTAAGAGGAAACAATATATATTTGAGATCCTTTTATTTATTGATCGATATGGACTCTTTTTCTAAGAATATCCTCCTCTTCCTCCTCCTCCTCCTTCTTTTTGCTTAATGCAATCCCCAAACATGATTTTTTCTGCTATTTCATTTCCATCAGACAAAGAACAGAATCAGAATGAACAGGATCATTTAAGCCAAATTTCACATGAAGCTGATCAAGAAATGTCATCAATTTCGGTAACTGTTATTTATTTGTTTGTTTGTTTGACTGTCTGTCTGTTTTACATCTTGGCCATAGTTTCCTCTCTCTCGTCTCCTCCAAGTCCCTCTGGCTCAACCCCACTCTGTTCTAACACCCCAGGTCATGCCTCCATTTCTGTATAGAAAAGAACAGGTTTCCCATTAGTAGTAACAAAACATGGCATTTCAAGTTATAGTAAGACTAACCCCCCCCCAATGTATTAAGACTGGGCAAGATAATCCACTGTGTTAATTAGGGTCTCAAAAAACCTGTAAAAAAGCAGAGATGGCCCCTATTCCCACTGTTAGGAGTCCCACAATAGGACCAAACTATACAACTGCAATATATATGTTGAGTGCCTAGGTCTGTTCCATGCAGGCTCCCTGGCTATCAGTTGCAGTTTCTCTAAACCCATATGAGTCCAGTTAGTTGATTCTGTGAGTTTTCTTGTGCTGTCCTTGACTCATCTGGCTCTTACACTCCTTTCTTTTCCTCTTTTGTAGAATTCTCCAAACTCCACCTAATGCTTGACTGTGGGTCTGCATCTTTTTTCCATCAGTTTATGGATGACGCCTCTCTGATGACAATTGTGCTAAGCAGAAATTTGTTCACAGGAGATGACCAATAAAGTAAACATATCAGCTATTGCTAGGAGTCTAAAGTAGGGTTTTCCTTGTAGATTGCTGAGAGGTTTCCTTTTGCCAGGTTTTTACCTGACCACGAAGTGCCCCCCCTTTCCAGTAGTCTCTTTCAGTATTCTCCTCTTCTGTCCCCCCACAACCCAATTGTTCATGTTCCCATCCTCATCTACCCTTAGTCCACTCAGAAAGTCTCTTCTATTTCCTGCACCTAGGGAGATCTGGGTGTGTCCTCATGAACCCTCCTTTCTACCTAGTCTCTCTGGGTCTGTGGATTGTAGCATAGGTCTCCTTTATTTTACAGTTAATATCCACTTATTAGTGAGTACATACCATGTTTGTCTTTCTCTGTCTAGATTACCACACTCATGACGATTTTTTTGTCTAGTTCTATCCATTTGCCAACAGATTTCCTGGTGTCCTTGTTTTTAACAGTTGAGTAATGCCCCATTTTGTAAATATACCACATTTTCTTTATCCACTCCTTGACTGAGGGACATCTAGTTTCTTTCCAGGTTCTGTTTGTGTTTTCCTCAATTTCTTTAAGGGATTTGTTCATACGCTTTCTAAGGACCTCTACTGACTTCATAAAGTAATTTTAAGGTTGTTTTCCTGTGCTTCATCTGTGCTTATATGTTTAAAATATAAAGGAAAACCTATTATAATTACACATGACATCTTAACAGAGACACTAAAATCTAGAAGGGCCTGGACTGTTGTCTTGCAGACTCTAAGAGACCACGGATGCCAGCCCAGACTACTATTTCCAACAAAAACCTCAATCAACACAAATGAAGAAAAAAGTCTTGATGTTGTAGGAGAGCTGGACTTTAGTGATACTATATTGCCTTTGCTTTTACTATGTTCTTACACTTGTGTTTAAGCATATGTATTTAGGATTATTATAGGTCTAGGTGTTGAATCCTTAGTTTGTCTTTGTTATATGGGTATTTTGTTCCTTGGTTTCTTTTTCCTCTCTGGTCTAATGGCCTAAATGACTTGTGACCAGTGAGTCTTCAGGTTCAGCTTGGTGTCCCCTCTGAAGTTTTTTTTTTCCTTCTAGGGGGTCCCTAGATATGAACTGGCCTCTGACAAAGCCTGAGTATTTTTCCAGACCAGAATATGTAGCCACAGGGAAGGGATGGACACTGGGTTCCTTAGAAATGGTCTAGCCTCTGCTGTCCTGGTGTCTAAGACAGCTACCAGTGCTGGGGTACCTAGATCCAGTATGTACTCCAGTAAAGCTGAAGGCATGTGCTCTAATAAGGTTGAAGTCTTCTTCTGAAGTTGTGGACCCAAATATGGAGCCAGAGAATAGGGTTGAGGGGTTGGGGTTGTGTGAGTAGTCTGAGGTTGTTGGGAAGGCTTTAAGAAGGTTTTGTGCCTTAACTGGGATTTCTAGGACCAGCCTGGACTCCCATAAATCTGTCGGTACTTTGGGTTCTAGTTTGGAGTTAAGGGGGAAGGTGCTGTCTGGGATTACTGGGTGAAATTTAAGGAGTGTTAGCAGGCAGTGGGTGGTATCTTAGTGTCCCTAGGTCCAACGTGACCTCTGGTAAAATCAAAGACTTCTTCCAACTTCTAAAAGAGTAGACCAGGAAAAGGGGCCCAAGGGTGGAGGTGCAGTCTGGGGTTGTTGAACAGTCTTTAAAAGTATTTAATGGGTGATGGGTGGTGTCCTCTTTGGCATCCCAAGGACCACACTGGCCTCCAGCACAGCTGCCTAGACTGTAGTGATATGGGAAGTCCTTCTGTATATGTGTTGCTTTTATTGGTTAATGAATAATGACTCTGCTCTGGCCTATGGCAGTGCAGAATATAGCCAGTGTGGAAAATATATATATATATATATATATATATATATATATATATATATCTGAGAGAGAGAGAGAGAGAGAGAGAGAGAGAGAAGCAGAATCAGACAGAGACACCATGTAGCTGCTAAAAGAGATAGACACCAGATGGAATCTTTTTTTTTAATTTTACTTTATTTATTTATTTATTTATAACAATTTCCACTTCCTCCCCTCCTCCCAATACCCTCCCACTCTCCCCACTCCCTCTCCTCCTCCCTCTCCAGTTCTAAGAGCAGTCAGGGTCTCCTGTCCTGTGGAAAGTTTAAGTTCCTCCCCCATCCCTCCAGGTCTAGGGAAGGTGAGCATCCAAACAGACTAGGATCCCAAAAAGCCAGTACATGCAGATGAAACAAGACCCAGTGCCAATATCAATGGTTTCTCAGTCAGCCTCCATGTCAGCCACATTCAGAGAATTCGGTTTGATCACATGCTCATTCAGTCCCAGTCCAGCTGGCCTTGGTGAGCTCTAATTAGATCAGTCCCCTTTTATCAGTGAGTGGACGCACCCCTCGTGGTCCTGACTTCCCTATTCATGTTCTCCCTCCTGCTGCTCCTCATTTGGACCTTGGGGGCTCAGTCCAGTGCTCCAATGTGGGTCTCTGTCTCTATCTCCATCCATCGTCGGATGAAGGTTCCTTCTGATCCTGCCTTCCTTGCTCACGTTCTCCCTTCTTCTGCTTCTCATTTGGACCGACAAAAGCGTTTGTTCAACTATGTTCATAGTGGCACTATTTGTAATAGCCAGAACATGGAAACAACCTAGGTGCCCCTCAATAGAAGAATGGTTAAAGAAGGTGTGGAACATATACACATTAGAGTTTTACTCAGCGGTTAAAAACAATGACATCTTTAACTTTTCATGCAAATGGATGGAAATAGAAAACGCTTTACTGAGTGAGGTAACCCAGACCCAAAAAGAGGAATATGGTATGTACTCACTCATAAGTGGATTCTAGCCATAGTTAAAGGTCTTTGAGCCTATAATTCGTGATCCTAGAAAAGCTAAATAAGAAGGTGAACCTGAAGAAAATCATATGGTTATCCTCCTGGATATTGGAAGTAGACAAGATTTCCAGGCAAACTTGGGTGCACGGGGGGTGGGGGTGGAAGTAAGGGGAGATGGTTAGAGAGAAGGGAGAAGGGGAGGATTGGAGATAGCTTGGGGGAAAGGGATGGTGGGGAGGGAGGAAGGATGGATATGGGAGCAGGGAAGTATATATCTCAACCAAGGGAGCCATTTTAGTGTTTGCAAGAGTCTTGATTCTAGAGGGGTTCCCAGGTCCAAGGAGAGGTCCCCAGATTGTTCCCTGGGCAGCAGAGAAGAGGGTGCCTGAACTGGCCTTGTCCCATAGCTATACTGATGAATATTTTGCATATCACCATAGAACCTTCATTTGGAGATGGATGGAGATAGAGACAGAGACCCACATTGGAACACTGGACTTATCTCACCATATGGAATCTTAACGGTAGGCCACAGGCTCATAGCAATGCAAAATAATTGAAATGGGTTAATTTAACATGTAAGAGTTCGTTAATAAAAAGCCTGAGCTAATAGGCCAAGCAGTGTTATAATAAATATAGTTTCTGTGTAATTATTTGGGTCTGGGCAGCTGGAAAATGAATGAGCAGCTTCTGCTTACACATGTTGCTCCAATGAGGAGCAACTACATCCACTTGAAACCTGAGAGACCTTGGGAAGGAATACTACACACAAAAGATCAGACTTAAGCATAGCTCCTTGGTAGCCACATTTTTTTTTTCAGATGGGCTGTTTGTTGGAGGCAGCAGGGGCACGGCTCCTTTAAGAGAGTTCTTCCTGACTCAGCATTGGCAGTGAAGGCTGTGTGACTTTTTGATTTGTTTGTGCTGGTTCTGTTATGGAGTACTTAAATGGGGTCTGTGAGCAGCTTGATACAAATTGCTTAATGATGACATAAACTAGCTGTGTCCCTGGAGCTGGGGCAGTGAGTATAGCTTGCAGAGCTGGGGGTGAGCATACCTCTACCATGTTGGAATAGGTGGGGAAAGCAACTAAGGCAAAGCAGTCTTAGTCCTAGCTGGGCCCATTTAGCATTTAGAAAAAAAGGCACTCCTGGTCAGAAAATGATTACAGATAAGCAATAAAGACACATTCAGAAGAAAAAGACCTCTGAATGTGTTTCAGTGTTGGATAAATGTATGTAGACTTGTTAGAGAGAAAAAAGATTATAGACAGTTTATAAAAGGAAGTAAATAGTTTTAAAAATAAAACAAAGTCTTTAAAGAGACAGTAAAAGTAATATAAAAGAGTACAGACAATCATAGATTAAAGGAGTAAGGAAAAATAAGCCATGCAAAGATGGAATATACACAGAAAGTCTGGATTATGTATATTATTGTGTTTTCTTTAAAAATTTTGACTGCAGAGAGATATTTGATTCTGGCTAAACCAACATATATATTTTAAAGGTATCTTGACTTCAAAATTTGAGTGTAAGGATATATTACATTAGAAAACAGGTTCTGCTTTTGTTTCCATAGAGGATAGGAACCTATGGATTCCTTACAAGCTAATGTGTTTTGATGGAACAAGACTCCCCAAAAGGACCCTGTGAAACCCTAAAAATACTTTCCCTGACTTATAACAGGAAGCAGTTTGGAGAAAACTGTGCCCAAATTCCCAAAATGATTGTTTATGAATATTTGTTTTCATTTAAAGGGGGTTGATTATAAGTGATTAATAGTCACACTCAATTTTAAAAAAGACAAGGGGGTATGATATAGAGATGATTACTTTGCATTGGTGTGGATCTTGGTCATATTTAAGATTGATTTTGTTACACTGTGTATGTATTTCTACTCTTGTTTAAGGTATTGTGTTTGTGCAGCTCATTTAAAAATGTAATGTATAGCTAAGAAATATAGATAAATAGTCTTCTGTAATAATCAAACTTGTAGTCATGTTATTTATGTTTTCTAGATGTACAAATATATATTTAAGATAGATAGGTATTCTTCAAACCTTTCAAAGACTTACAGGATATGGCATTTAAAATATTTTAAGAACTTAGACTTTTCTTGACAATGAGACACATCTGCTCCTGGCTACACCAGTTACTTAAAGAGGATGATGGCCATCGAGGGGTGTTCTTATGGAGTTTGTAAGCCATTTGGACAAGAAAATAATCTTGCCTGGACTGCTTGATGGCATGGTGTATAAACTGGACTTGTAGGATGAACAGAAAAATTATTGCTGAATTTACCAAAAGAAGGTGGGACAGTCTTTCCAGGTTCCTGCTTCCTGAGAGGACTGCAAGACATTTTGCAGGATACAGAAGAAAGGAAATGATGAACTTTGTCAGGACAAGGTAGAACAGACCTTCAAATTTCCTGATTCACTGAAAATCCTGCCAGATATTATGGGTCTGTAGACTAAAGATGGATGCCCCAACATTATAGAAAGAACTTTGAATGACTGTCCAAGCAGCAGATGTCTCTCTCAATTCTAGAATTTTATAAGTTAATTACAATGCACTTCCTGTTTACTTAGATAATATTATATCCTTCTGGAGTCCTTGATGGTGTTGAAGAAAAATAGGTATAATTATAAAAGATAAATTAGATATAAAACTTTAGACTCACAATATTTTCCTTAATTTGCCAAGTAAATGGACTAAATATTATAAGTATAATTCTTACTTGATAACTCTTTTGTTATATGTAATTTTGCTATGTTAAGTTTAAATCTTTCTTTTTCATTAGACACAAAATGGGAAATGGTGTGGGAAGTCCTTCTGTCTATGTGTTGCTTTTATTGATTAATGAATAAAGAAGCTTCTTTGGTCAATGGCAGTGCAGAATATAGCCAGACTGGAATATGTATGTGTATTCCAGTATGTATGTCATATATATATGACAGAGTCAGAGAGATACTAGGTAGCTGCCAAAGGAGACAGACACCAGATGGAACCTTACTGGTAGGCCACCACCTCAAGGCAATACAAAACAATAGAAATGGGTTAAGATGCAAGAGTTAGTTAATAAGAAGCTTGAGCTAACAGGCCAAGTAGTGTTGTAATTGATATAGTTCCTGTGTAATTATTCAGGTCTGGGCAGCTGGGAAACAAATGAGTGGCTTCTGTTTATACTTTAGATTCTAGTGTGGGGTCCAGGTGAGGGGGTTCTGCTAACTCTTAATATAGCAGGTTAAAATGTTAATTTTCTCTGTTCTCATTCTTAATTAATTTCTGTCTTCTTTCTAAACAAATTTGTGCAGTAAGTAATGTTGGAAAAAGTGCCCTAAAACCAGAGAAGTTACTGTTAGTCTCGTGATAAAAGTTGCCTCCTTAAAGAATCATTTGACTTATATGTAACAGAAAAACAACAGATGACATCATGAGTATTCATCTAAAAGTGACAAATAGACTCTGTAACAAAAGTATGCAGTATGTTTATCAAAGGTAGAAGCTTATGGAATTGGTCAGAGGTAGAAGATCCAGTTTCAAAACATTAGTCCCAGAACAAAGTGTAAACAGAGAAAAAATAGACTACTCATAAGGGATGTGGCTAATAGAGTCAATAAAATTCTGAGGCCCTTAGCAAGTAAATAAAAGTTATAAAGTGGCTACAAAGCATGAAATATTGAAGTTTGTCAAAAGCTTTTTAGGAATCTAATGAGATGGATCATGTAGTTTTTTTCAGTTCTTTTTTATATAGTGAATTACATTGATTGATTTCTTTTTGGGTTAAACTATTCCTGAATCACTGAAATGAAAACTACTCAGTCATGGGTGATGATCTTTTTAATGTGTTCTTGGATTCTGTTTGCAAGTATTTTACTGAGTATCTTTGCGTTTATGCTTCTAAGCGAAATTGATCTGTAATCCTATTTCTTTGTTGAGTCATTGTGTGGTTTGGGTACCAGGCTGACTATGACCTCACAAAATGAATTTGGCAATGTTCTTTATGCATCTATTTTGTGGATTCATTTGAGGAGTATTGGTATTAGTTCTTTGAATGTCTGGTAGAATTATGCACTAAAACTGTCTGACCCTGGACTTATTTGGTTGGGAGACTTTTAATGTCTGCTTTTATTTCAGTAGAGGTTATAGATTTGTTTAAAATATTGGTCTAATCTTGATTTAACTTTGTTAAGAGGACATATCAAGGAAATTATCTATTTCTTTTAGGTTTTCCAATTTTGTGCAGTGTAGATTTTTAAAGTATGACCTAATGATTCTTTAGATTTACTCAGATCTCTCTCAGAGTAAAATATCTATATATCTGCTCAGTTCCCAGGAATCATCCTGCACCAAGGAAGTTGCAGTGAGGGAAGCATCCTAGAACAAGGAAGTTGCAATGAGGAAAACATCTTAGAACAAGGAAGTTGCGGTGAGGAAAGCATCCTGCTCCAAGGAAGTTGCAGTGAGGGAAGCATCCTGGAACAAGGAAGTTGCAATGAGGAAAACATCTTAGAACAAAGAAGTTGCAGTGAGGAAAGCATCTTGTGCCAAGGAAGTTGCAGTGAGGAAAGCATCTCACACCAAGGAAGTTGCAGTGAGGAAAGCATCCCGCATCAAGGAAGTTGCAGAGAGGAAAGCATCCTGGACTAAGAGGGTTGCAGAGAGGATAGCATCCTACACCAAGGAAGTTGCAGAAAGGAAAGAATCCTGGACTAAGGAAGTTGCTGTGAGAAATCATCCTGGACCAAAAAGTCTCAGAGGTGAAATCATGCTGTGCCAAGGAACTGTGGCAATGAGATATTAAATCTTCTTCAGCCCTTAAGATCAGATTGCAGTCTCAGCTAGGGAACTTGAGGTAGTAAGAAAAACAGAGAGGGACACAGATTTGAGCTAATATATATATATTATGTATATAATTATATATATATTATGTACATAATATATATATAATATATTAGCTAATATATATATCACACAATTGAGGGGTTCTTTTGATCAAATTTTGTTCTGTCTAAAAAGTGTAGATTTTTAAAAATACATTTTTAAAATCAACATAGAATTTCATTGCTTCCCTCCTTCTTTTTCTTCCCTAGCTCCTTTCATGTACCCTCCTTCCAAACCATCTCATGCCAACCCCTCAAATTGATAGTCTCTTTTTCTTTTTTATTATTGTTAAATACTCACAGATATGTATATGTATGTACAAATATATAAATACAACATGTTGAGACTGTTTTTGCATATATATATAGTTATATATATAGTTGCATATATATATATATATATATATATAGTTTCAGGGCAAAAATACTGATTTTGATTTTGATCTTTGTCACAATATAGATACCAATGAGTGTCCATTTGGTCTGTGATCCATATGCTCCTCCACATCTTAAACTCAGTAAGGATTGAATCAATATGGATTTGTTAAAAATAATTTTTTGACAAATTTTCTTCAAATGTGAGCATAGGATTTTATTTTTGGAGAAAGGAAGATTGAAGGCAATAAAAGCAATGATACAAACTTTAGGGAAAAGTATTTTAGAACAAAATAATGTACTTTTGTGTATAGTCAATGCTTAGCAGAAAAATAAAATGTTTTCTTAATTATTAAAAATTCTAAAATTATATTGCCTATGTATCATTTTTTACACTTTTCATAAAATAATATCAAAGTAAATATTAGCATCATAAATAATAACTACCAGACTTATAGAAAGACAATTAGTAAACATGAAACGAATCACAAAGTCTATATATTTCCTGAATGAATTAAAATGTATCAATGAGAATGGCTGAAGAGATGGCCCAGTGCTTAAGAATATTTGTTGCTCTTCTAGAGGATCAGAGTTTGGCTCCCAGTACCCATGTTAGATGGTCCATAACCACATGTAACTCCAGTTCCAGAGAATTCAAACCCTCTCCAAACTTCTTTTTCAATATGCACACACATGTACATACCCCCACACAGTCATAGACAAAATATGCACATAATTAAAAGTGAAAAATCCTTAAAATACATCAATCAGAAATATAAATGACCCGAATATGGCATTCAAGATGATGCTGAAAGTAAATGAAATGAAAAATAGGTGCTTGGATATTTTAGAATATATCCTTAAACAATGATAAAAACAGTTGCAGTGTAAAGAAATAGAAAAGCAATCAGTGAATGTGAGTTATAGTCTTTAATGACTAAGCCGTCTTTCCAGCTCAGATCTGAAAGTTCCTTCCATGTTAGCTAGCTTTCATAGTTCTAGAACATACTATGTATGCTACCAGAAGGTAAAAGCAATCATTAATTATACCTAGCTGTGAACTCTGCAGGCCTGCTGCTAGAATAGTGGCACAGACATCAAAAGATTAAGCAACCACTTATTCATTGGATTTAAGTTTCCAGTCCACAAGATGAATGCCATATCTGGCTCTATTATCAGGCAAAGAACCTGTGATTAAACAGAATGTAGACTTCAGGGGTGGGGGAAATCTACTACCATAATACTGATAGATGGATGTAGCATTAAACCAATACCTAATGACTTGTTATTATAGATCACTGCATCTCTGAAAACTCACCTGAGAAGCTTACATTTGTAGTAGACAATAAATATCACAGAGATTCACAACTGAACAAGGTACAGGCAATAAACAACTACGGAATGGTCAGCCTTAAAGGGTTGTATACTCCAATCCCTTCTCAGGGATCAAGGATCAATATAGAAGCGTGTAAGAGCCAGAAGTGGTGAATAACTGCAAGGAAACAGTATATTCTGATACAGCAGGGTAGCTACATATACTAACTCACAATAATTGTAATAGCCTGAGAAAGACCTATGCAAGCCTAAACCAGACCAAGCCCCAGCAAGTAATGAGGATTGGACATGAAATATCATCTTTAGCTTTGGAGTTATTGGCAATTGTTAGCTTCTGGGAAAAGGAGAGACAGGTTTCTAAAATTATGCCCCCATTGAAATTTCCTATGCCAAAGAAATGGGTCCATTACTTTTAAGTTCAGCCTCATGCAAATTAGCAGGATGTGGACTTTATGCCAAAATATTCTGTGAATGGCCTTTAGCCCAGTTGTTTACAGAGACTTTATTTCCCTTGGAAGCTGTTGAGTTCGGCCTGTTTCAAACACACTTTTCTTAGCCCTGTCTTCCAGGTTTCTAGTAGAGTGACCTGCTAAGTTCTCTGTATAGGGTTCATGTGCTTTTCTAGTTTAAAGTTCCAAAGTCTTTCACGTTTCTCCAAAATACATGAGGATAGGATTCTTCACAGCAATACCCCACTCTTTGGTAATAAACACCTTTATTTAGTTACTTTTGATTACTGTGGTAAAATGCCACAATCTAAACTGACTTACAAAAGAAGCTTTATTTTTGATTATGGTTTCAGGGATGTGTGGGGTCCCTGAGGTATAGACAGAGAGGTAATATAGCAGGTGACTGGGTCACAAAACTGAGAGATCCCACCCGGACAATACAGAGGGTAGCAAAATCTGTGGTACTGGTAACAACGTTGTTGACATTCAGCAGTAGATGTAGGAAGGAGAGGATTTGAGGCATATTATCTGAGATTGTAGCTATGCCTCCTTCATTCCTACCACACCCTTGCTACAATAGTGTTGGGAGACTCTATACAAGAAGGGAAAATTTGACTGAATAGAGGCTACTTAATGCAACACTCATGAGATTGTTATTAATGATGAAATTTGCTATGTTTAAGCTGCTCAGGGACCACTCATGGACTTGTGAGCAGCCTACTACTTATGTTCCTCAAGTACCAATAATCTCAGTGGCTCACCAAGTTGGACTTGGGTGGAATTTTTATTTGACCTCTCCCAATGCTCAATATGGAGTGAATAGATGTTCACATCTTCTTAGGAAAACTTAATGTAACAGTGCCCCAAACAGCATCACATGTATGACACCAAAGAATGTTGCAAGCTCAAATAATAAGTACACCGTCTTGTACGATGTCTGCAGAGGTCTCTGTGTTCCTGGACTAAAGGAGGTAAGGGTATTTGTTCTGATGACCCTGGGTTCACAGGTTACCCTGAAGATTTTTTCTAAAACACTTTTATGAGTTAATTCCCTCAGTTGGTGATGTGTGGGGTGTGGCCTATTACTGAGATGCATTCAAGGTAATTCTCCATTGTCTAATGACCCCAGCATCTTCAGGGCCATGGTTTTCTTGGCCAAAACTTCAAGTTTCCTTCTTATTTGCACAGACTGCAATTTTTCAAAAATAAACTTGTTCTGCTTTATTTCATATTTCTACCTGTAAATGACAAAAGGCAGACATTAATTCATGCTACAGTAAAGTCCTGGAGTAACATTTCTTCTGCAAAATGAATTAGTTCACCAGTAGTAAATTCACAAAATGTCAACAATGTCAGATTGTAAAATAACTTCTCTCTGGTCCTGATATCAAAAGAGTTCTTTTGCTCCCCAAACACCTATGAGCACAGTCTTTGCTATTCACATTGTGGTAAGAATCCCAGATCCCACCTGAATCACCCTAGAAATGTTTAGAGATTATTGAACCAGAATCTGCAAACTTTTCCAAATTGCACTCACAAACCAGTTCCAAAGCATGCCCCACTACTCCTTGTTGTTACAGCACTGATCCCACTTTTCTGTCAGTGAGCTTCCTGTCATTGTAAGAAATACCAAAGTTAATCAATTTAATGGGGAAATATTTTACAGATGATTTCAGAGAGTTTAGTACGTGGCCATCTGCAAGCATTGTCTAGATAAAGTGAGGATGTTTCTGATAGAGTAGTTCAAGCTTTGAAACCAAATGTGAAGAAATTATGTAAATATGACAAAGAGCCCAGTATCCAGAAGCTCCAGAGAATGTCTGGATGAAGCCATAGTGGGCTTTCCATGTTTACCAGGGACAGTTGTCCCAATGAACTGTCAGAGCTATATGTCATTGGCATGGAAAGAATTAATAATGGTGCCAATAGAGGCTCCAAGAGTCCCAAGAAGGCTCTGATTTAGAAGTCTTTAAATAACTCTTGTTGTCTTTCTTAATCCAGCTATTAAAACATAAGGAAGAGAAAGTCAACTGGATATCTAGACGTCCATCATTAGAGTTCCCCACCTTCCCCACGACATTTACCTCTCAGTATGAAGTAGAGAAAGAAAATAAGCATGACGGCAAACGCTATCAGCATGCTCAGGATCATAGTCATGTCATCCAGCCACATAGTATCCAAGTCCAACTGTGCATCTGAAGCAAAGACTGGGTGGAGTGGGTGGAGACGCAAGAATTAGGAACTTCAAAGCATGTAAAGGAAGGCTGCATTACAGATTTAGATAGATTCACCTTTCTGGTTCCAATTGTTCTGTATTTTTGAATATATGAAGTTGGGGAAGAAATAGTTTGAGTTACATGGATGAATCTAGAAATAAATGCTCTTGGGTTAAGCCTGGAAGAATCAATAAGAAAATAGATATATTATACTATTTAAAGGAGCTTGACACATGTTCTGACTGACCAGAGTCTGAAGTGGTGAGAGAGCCCGAGAACACAGGGTCTTCTAAAGGGTATGGTGAAATAGTATGCTCTTAGGATGAAAAGACTCTCTGAAGTTGAAGGTATATTATAACTTTCAAAAGTAGTATGCTCATGTGTAGCATAAACATCCATGAAAAATATATTTTCTAGTTAAATTGGAAAACTTCAGATCTTCAAATTCATCATTATTCTCTGTAATAGTAGCACCCCATGTCAAAAATTAGGGCTAATTGCTTCATTGCTGCATAATTATGTTGATTAAAAACTACATTCCTGGGTGAGCCAACTCCCACATTGCAAGCATGAGAGAGGTGTCCCCATTACCCATCTGTCTTGGGGTGAGAGTTACCCTTCACCCCACCCTCAGC